CTTTTGCTATGACGCTGATTACTTATTCGTCCTTTGCCTGTTGAGTTCTTCTTTTCATACATATCAAGGTACATACAGTTATTTTTTCGGTAGCTCACATGCTTGTTCATGCTTATGCCATACGTACATACCTAGTATGATATATGTATCTGTACATATTCATATGCGCGCTCATCCCACTGTCATGCGCATGTTTCATAAATCGCATTCGTATCCCCAAGAAGGTCGCCCAGTTGACTTTCGTTTGTAACGCAAACCCTGTGAAGACCCAACACACTGCACGTTTTTCAACAACGCTACACATGTGGCAGCGTCTTCTGATGCATATAGTTTAAAAAAAAAAAAAGTTATGCTCTGCTTGTGCGAAATCATGTGAAACACGTGAGCGAGCGATACGGGGCGCAACACAAATCGTGCCTGGCGCCGTGTGTGCGGGAAGGCAGCCCCAGCACCACCGTACTCGAATCAGAGAACTCGAACAGCAGCGATAAGCGAGGCAGCTGCTGGACGCATGCGGTGATATGTCAGTTGTATGAGCTATAAAATCTTAATTCATTGGTTGAATGCATTGAATGGTTAAAATTATATGTATGTACATGCATACATACATATTTATACATATGTAAATAACATTCGAATTAATTCGATGACAACAAACAATTGCAGACAGCCAAACAAACACCAAAAAAAAAAACGGTTAAAAACCCTTCTTGTATATGGAGTCAAAACAATGTCAGCAAGCATCCAGCCCAGTTGTTGACAGAAGTTTCCGGATATAAAAACAAATTTCATTCTTTTGTGAATTGCAGTTTGCCCTTGCTGGGTTATTTTTAAATTTTTGCTTAAATATTATTAATTTTCGAGTAGGTAGTTGTTTTAGCTCTGTTCTTGTAGTTTGAATTCACTCACAAAATATATTGCTGTTGGGATCAATAGTTCACCGTATTATTAGTTTACATGCACATTTATTCGCGAAAATAAGAGACTATTCGTGGTCTGTTAATGAAGAGTTAAATCACAGCGGTGATGCAGTGTAGTGGAGTTGCTGAGGCTACATTTCCGACACCGCAGACCAGGGGTTGGCAGTTTTGGGGCTAATAAAAGCCGTTTAGAGGTTTTCTAAATTAACAAAATGCCACAAGAAATTCGAATACAAAATGACTAGATCAGCTCTCTTCTTTATATGAGCCCTGTTTTTGTACGCACTATCCAGTAAAAACTATTACTGGCGTTTTCGTATGCAAAAACTTGCAAGAAACGAAACGAAAGTGCTGTATATTGGTAAATATTCGATTCAATTCAATCTGAAAAAGCATCCGTGAAGTGAATAATCAAGACAAAAACTAAAAAAAAAATATTTAACTTGCATGTTGCCTGCAGTGGAATTCGAACCGTGACCATCTCTGGATATCAACGAATTGTGGCATGCATCTTTGCGCACTCAGCTACACCCAGGCATATAAATTTGCTTTCAAATGTTGAATATATATCAACACCACAGCACACGATTTGTACGGATAAACATGTACTATGTATGAATGTTTGTGTTGTCACCTCTCTCAAAGCGGCGGTCTGCATGCTTGGGGTGCGTATGTACACTCATATATATACTCAGATATGAACAGTCAAATACGTGAGTAATAAATTTTGTATGAAAATATTATTTTTAAATTCGAACATTTTTAAACGATAATCAAATACAAAGTATTCATTTTTACTACGCATTATTTCCCTCAGTGTACTGGATAGTTTTTTGAAAAATACGAAAACAGTGCTAAAATTGATTTTTAACCTTAATACAGGAGGTAACCATCTTCAAACATATTTTTGAAATATACCTTTTTTAATATTCGCCATAGACAATGCGGTGCGTCTGGCTCGCGAGTTATCTGTGTAGGTGCGTGTTGACTCGCCGTTCGACTGTACACAGTTGAGTCATTCAGAGTCATGTCTGTGTAACTAACACATATTTATATTCACTAACACATCCAAACGGACTCGCGAGTGAGACTCACCGTGTTTGTCGCCTATAAACCTCTCTCGTCAAAAATATTTCCGGATAAGCCTTTCATAAGCGTAACTCATTTGATATCCATATTAAAGTATTTCATTTAGCTGGTGAATTAAATTGATTTTGATTTTTTAGCCAAGTGGCAACCCTCGTAAAAAATATTACCGAACATTATCTTTCTTGAACCTGTCTCGTTCGACACTCATACTGAAATAGTAATCTGAAATAAAGTATATTTAAATTTCTGAGCAGGTGGCAACCCTCTTCAAAAATTTTTGCGGTATGAAGCTTTCTTAGACCACTCATTGATTTAATTCCCACAAAAATATTTAATTTAATTTTTTGCTTGAAATGATTTTGAGCTCCAAAACTGGTGGCAACCCTCTTAGATATGGTTTTCGAAATAAAGCTTTCTTAAACCTCTCTCTGGCGTGGGTCAAGCGGCTCGCTAAATAAACGTCTATTCGACTAAGAAACCACCCCCTCCCAGCGATGGGTTGGGCGCTGGGTTAGGGACCCGCCACGTAAAAACCTTTTCCAGTGAATAAAAAAACGAAGTAGTCAGATTTCAGCGAGCATGAAAGAATCACTAGTACGATGAGGAATGGCACGAAGCTGCTGAGAAAAAAGTTGCCGCCTACAGGGCCACGCTGCGAACGGGCGCAACACGGCTACGTTGGACCGCTATAGCGAGCTGAAGAGGTCGATATACGTGAGTGCGAGGAGCTTGAAGTGCTGGCCGACATGAAAAACGCTCGAAAATTTTAGCAGAGATGTATAGAACGTGCTTGAATTACCGAAGGAACACTTCTACCCTGCTTAATGGTAGCAGCAAAGATGTAGATAAGACGAATCCGGACCCCAGTCGATGATGACGGAGTCCAGGATCCCCCGCCTGACTACGACGGGTACGAACAGCAACTACGGGGCTGAAAAAGAACAAACCTGCTACAACTGACGCCAGCCAGCCGAGTTATCCAAGGTGGTAAGGTGCATACATCAACTCGTATGCAGAATATGGTTAGGTGAACGTATGTTCGACGACTGTAATTTAAGTGTGCTCAGGTCATATCGAGTATATTGTGTGAAATACTGAAGCCCACCACCAACGAACTCATTGGACCTTATCAGTATGGCTTTAGACCTGGAAAATTGACCATAAACCAGGTATTCACAATTTTCCAAATCTTGGAAAAGGCTCGCGATAATAAGATCGTCACATACCTTATATTTGTCGATTTTAGGGCCGCTTTCGTCAGCACGAAAGGAAGTTGTCTCTATGCCACCACTTCTATGGACGTTTGTGGTTAGTAATATTTTTACGAATATAGAAGGAGAAGCAGCCACAGTGGGACTGAGCGTTAACGAAGAGAAGACTGACTTAGTATTATTCACTGGAAAATAAAAGATCCTAGCTTAGGATAAACCTAAATTGCGGGAGACCACCCTTCAAATCAAAGCCAAACACGAGGTGCCTTGGAACCGTACTCAACAGCAAACGGTCATGAGGAATTCCTCGGCAATACTGTAACCTAAAAAAAGTTTTGCGTGTGCCAGTTTTAATTGAGTACTTATTGTCGAGAAAAAATTTTGGGTGTAAAATTTTTCTTTAGCACCCGCTAAAAGCCGCTAAATCGCATTTTATCCTATAACTTATTAATTGATATCCGATTTTTAAAATGTTTATATCGCCGAAAAGGTCTCGTTCACCCAACATGTTTTTTTGGCATAAGTATTCAAATAAAACTACCAAACGATAAACTTGTTTCGCTTTCATATATCGTAATACGGCTTACTGTACACATGTAAGGCGATGCTGGGCTGCAGTTGGGGATTTTCACCCAGTTCTTAATGATCAGTATAATGTGGGACTTGAGAACCACACCGACAGCAGCTCTGCATGCAATTTTATACATGCCACCGGCGGATTCGGAAGCCAAGAACGAAGCATTTACAACTGCCGCGAGGCACTTCTGCACAGACGGTTCTAAAATGGACGAAGTAGGAGGAGCTGCAGTATAATACGCCGAACCGGAAATTCAGTGATAATTTAAGCTACTAGGTCACTATAGTATCTATCAAGCCGAGGTCTGTGCGAACAGACTACAGAATTTTAAACCGCCTAGCGAGCAGTAAACCTTAACCTAGATAGTCAGGCAGCCATTAAGGTTTTACATTCGTATGAAAAAATAAATCAATGGCAAATGTGGAAGGTATTAAACGAGCTGACGAGTTGGCCAAGGAATTGGCTCTCGAAAGGAACTCATGTCTCATTTCCTGCTTTGAACAAGAAGAATGGACTCGAGACCGCTAGTGTGATTGTTAGCAGGGTTCAACTATTTATCACAAGGAAGCTGTGGAAATATAATTTGCGAGTATTCAGCCTACAGCAGGCAAAGACTCGCGTTACTCGGCAAGTTGCAGCTTAAGGGCTTTCACTCAGTAATTGACAAAATATCAAAGCGTCTGATAAAACTCGCTTAAGAAACGGCAGCTTTTTTTTCTTTATGGACCTCTTATGGGCAGCTTAATCTAACTATAATACCTAAACCCTGCTTAGTTCTCAAGTTGTTAAAAAATTCGATAAAAATATTAAAATCATACCTTTGATTTCTAAAGCGAATGTGGGCCGTTCTTCAACCAAATTGTGAAATAGGGTGTTGTTGAAATTTTTTCCGAGACAGGGCGTTTTCGAGCTGGCTGCCGAGATAGGTCGATCTTCCACTTAGCCATCGATATGTAATATCTTCAATATTGAGAAAAATAAATACTAAATACTTTTTTTGTATTTTTTCAAATATTTACAATTTGCTTTGCAAATTCTTTATTCAATTAAGGCTAACTTCGTAAAATACATAAATACATATGTGTAATACATCCATGCACATGGTTAAATACATACTTACAAATATGCGTTATCGCAAAAATACTAAAATTTTATATACATACATACATACGTAATTAAAATTAATAAGAAAAATGTATAAAGTATGATATTTAAGTGGAAATGTAATAAAACATTCGAATGGAACTAGGTAGTGGTAAAAAGATATTTATGATATGAATATAAAGTTCAAATAGCTATAGTTTAAGAGAGTCCATAACTTGGAAATCGCGCCTTTTTTGCTGAATTCTTTGCCAGTCTACTAATCAATGCAATCCTATTTACTTCGAACTCACCCGGTGTGATAAATAGGAACTACTTAGCGAAATCGGTAGGCTGTGGCCACGTTTGAGCGCCTCCTCACGCGGTACCAGCTCGTGTGTTGTGGGTGTCACAACAGTGTATTGCGTTCTTGGCGCCAAAACCGTATAATACGAATGCACCGGCACGCGCACAGTTTCAATGGTGGTAAGCTGCGGCCGCACCAAAGTCAAATCGGATTTATCTTGCAAGTCCGTAAGACGTAGCAAATCTTTGGAGCTCTCGCCATCACCTTCGTATGTATACAGAGCTCTTGAGCTGAGCTGGTCATCTGTGCCTACTAAATCGGATAGTTTGTATGTTGTCATTTGCCTTTCTGCGCTGGACAATTCTCTCGATGCCGCCGATGCTTCATTCTCTTCCTCTCCATTTTCTATCGTCACATTATCGCCATCACTAGTATTTCCCTCCTCTTCGTTACCCTCGCTGTCATCTTGTGAGATTTGCAAGCTATCAATGGATAATAAACCACTATTATCTTCGTCGTCCGTATTGGCCACCTCCTCTTCTTGATCTTGGGTAGTCTCGACATTAAGCTCCTCCTCTGCACCACCATTCAAATTGTTGTTACTGGGTGTATTTTCTGCACTAGCACTCTCTGACAATATAGCTAATATTTTACTCCTTGTACTCTCCAAAATATCCGCCACCTCCTGTTGTGAACGCTCTGGCTTTTGTGTCTCCTCCAAACTGAGCTCGTCCAGGCGTGAAGCTTCATTTTGTGACGCCAGCGCTGCTCTCAGCTCCGCCTCTCGATATGCCTCAAAGTGCGCCTTCTTTGCTTCCTGCACTTCAGCTGTATCTCTCACGGGTAGCGGCGCCAACCTATTCGGATTCTTTGGCGCTTTGGGTAAGTTCGTCGCTGCCGCCTTAAAGCCCTGATTTCGTCCTGCTTCATACTTTACAGTTTGCAGTTTTCCATCTGCATCAACATAGGAATAAAAACCACGCGACGAGCCGTCCAGTGTGAGATATTCGGCTTTGGCGGATCGACCAGCACTATAGCCATACGAATAGAAACCGTCCGAATCCTGTTCGTGATACTGTGTATTGGCTGGCGCTGTGTCCTTTTTTTCAAACGTCGCACTTTGCAATTTAGCCAGTAGTACCTTGGTGGGCGTATAACGAAATGTCGACGCTGTGGTTAGGGTCACCCAAACCAATGCGAGCATCAACCGCATTGTGTTGGTGCTTCGAAGGATGCTCAGTTTTTCGAAATGTCCTTGCTATTCTCACTACTCTGCGTATGCGTTATGACCACGCTTCAAAGCTGTAAAATTACTAAATTGAAACAGTGGTGAGTCGTTTTATTTATACCGCATAACACCCTTTCGAAGTGTGCCTAACGCACTCTATCTATCCGACCACTTGTCATGCATATTGTTGCAACAAGTTGTTGCATTTGCTCACAGTTTATAGAGCAGACAGTGCGTGGTACTCGCAATATTTTCATTGTAAAGTACCGTCAGCACTTTGTCAGCAGAGATGACCTCGAAATGCAGCCAATAGACAAGTACCGGCAGCCGCCATCAAACATCAACTACTAAGCTGGGGGTATCAGTTGACACAGTCGTTGCCGGATTGTTTGACAGTGCGTCTGACATACTGGCATGGTGCTAGCTTACACATGTAAATATTTAACCAACATGGACGCGCGTCGTCGGCACATATGTTTTATGTGCGGCTGTATGTCGTTTGCTTCCGATGTTGTAATAACAAACTTCTTATATTCCAAACGGTACGCTGATTAACGCATGAAGGCCTATCAAATATCAAAACTGTTAAAAAATAAGCGAGATTGTAAAATATTGGAAATGGAAATGGTAAAACTATAGTACCTTGTGGTATGCTGAGTGACATGATGAAGTTCGATATTTGTTATAAGAGGTTAATATGTGGTATGTTTACAAAAACAAAATGCCAATTGAATGTGGCGAATTCAATATCTTCTTAATTTAATATGTTATTGTAATAATAATGCCAACGATTAGCCTCATTCCGCCCGAGTAGCATGTTAGGTGTAGTATCCATGATGTACAGATTTGAATACTTTTTTACAGCGCTTTTATCAACTTGCAATGTTGTGTGTCCAGACAACATTTTAGCTATAAAACCTTTGCTTTGCAAAGTTCCTATAAAAAACTCTAGTGCATAGGGCGACATCTACCTCTACGGTTGAGAGGTAGAAGTCGCCCTATGCACTACGTACACTACAGCTGAAATGGACGACACGCCATTCCTTTACATCAACGTTGGACAGAGCGAGCTTTTACTCTGCTCGCGCCTATACAAAATGTATAGAAAGCTTAAAAGAGCTTTGCCCGCGAGCAAGGCAGTGCCTATCAGTGCTTTATAAAAGCGTTGTATATTAAAAATGTTTTTTTTTTTTATATTATTTATTTTTCGAAGATGTCTTTGTGATGCAAATTTCTTCTACATCCCACAACGCATCACCTGGAAAAATATTGTACATGAAATCTCACAGCTACCGTATATTTTAACGAATAATACAATGCACTTTTTTTTATGGACGAAATTATCGTATTTGTCATACAGAAAAAAAATCAAGCCCCAATTAACTCGATGAACAATAATGTTGTGGAGAGGTAGTGTGGTTTTCCCACAAAAAATTTAATTAATAACGGCCTCAAGCTCAATAAAAATTGTTAGGGCTGTTTTCTCAAGTAGGTTTTAAAATTTATCTGCCTTTAAATACAAATTTTGTTCTGAAAAAATGTGTTTGAAGATCAAAGGTACTTAAGAAAACGACACTTATTAGGCCAGAAAATAACAGAAAAAAAAATGTAAAAGTAGAAAAAACCGTGTCCTGTAAAATTTGGTTTCTGACACATATAGCCCAGTAAAATTAGATAAATTTGGTAGGAAAATTTAAAAAATTTTTAACAGCGATTTTTTGATTTACTATTTTTTTACTATTATTTAATACGTAGATCATGGATGCAGTCTTGCCCCTAAATTTCATTTGGCAACATTCCACCATCTGGGATAAAATTTTTTTGGGTTTTTTGCGATTTGCAAGCATATTTTGCATTTTTCGTAAAAAATGGTTAAATACAAATATGTAGAGAATTTAATTTCCCAGATTTATAATATAGAAGATTTTTTTTTAATTTCATTGTAAAAAATTAGCAAAAACTGCGAGAAAATTTTATATTGTCACGGTTTTCGCCATTTTTTTGACAATTTCTGTTGAAAATTCATAGCATATTGAAATTCCGAAGTTGTAGAGAATTTCATTCTCCACAACTTTTACACCTACATTTTTTTTTTGTACGACGCTTAGATCACGGCCGGGACCGCAATACACATGGCGATGCTTGGGATGCGCCGTAAAACTCATTTCCTGCACTTGCTTTACGTTAAAAAAAAAAAAAAAAACGTTGTCCGTGGATTAGTCCTACTGGGGAAACACGTTAAAAAATGCGCCAAAAAAACTCTTCTGCAGCGGTGGTGTGGAAATGAGTTTTACGGCGCATTCCGTACATCGCTATGTGTATTGCGTTCCCGGCCGTGATCTGAGCGTCGTACAAAAGAAATGTAGGTATAAAAGTTGTGAAGAATGAAATTCTCTACAACTTTGGAATTTCAATATGCTATGAATTTTCAACAGAAATTGTCAAAAAATGGCGAAAACCGTGACAATGTAAATTTTTTTCGCAGTTTTTGCTAATTTTTTACAATAAAAAATGCTATTTTTAAAAAACCTTCTATATAACAAATCTGTGAAATTAAATTCTCTACATATTTGTATTTAACCATCTTTTACGAAAAATGCAAAATAAGCAGTTTATATCTCTTGGCAAAAAAACAAAAACGCTTCTCCTGGCAGCTAAGTAAACAGAGCTTAATAAAGTGAGGTCAATGATATCGAGATGTTTTGCAACGTCAATGAGTTGCAATCGCAAGTAAACGTGGGGACAACTTATGCGTATGTATGTGCATCTGGGTGTACATTGGCGCTTCCGAAAGAAAGTCACAAAAATCGTAAAATTTTTAAGCCAACACTTGTAAAAGAGCCTGCAGTTGCAACAGACAGCTAAAGAAAAAAACGGTGTATCAACTGATTCAGCTTTAAAATATAAAATTATTTAAATTTGTGCAAAATATGGAACTCAATGGCAAAAATGTGATCTATGCAGGTGGTTTTGGTGGCATCGGACTGGCTTGTGTCAAAGAATTTCTCGCAAAGGGTGTAAAGGTAAAATTGCCAAATCGGCCTTTAAGTGTTTTAAATAACAGACAAATCATATTTTTTTCAGAATTTGGTCATTTTTGATCTAACAGAGAATAAGCAAGCTTTGCTGGAGTTGCAGAATTCGCAACCAGCCTCTACAATTCATTTCATACAATTTGATGTGTCTAAAAAAGAAAGCATAACAGCAGCTTTCACAGATGCTGTGGAGAAAATGCAGTACTTTGACGTGTTGATCAACGGTTTCGCCATAATGATGGATGAACACATTGAACTGACAGTTGAAGTTAATTTGGTAATAGAAGTTATTAAAATACAAATTTGCAAAAATAACCCCCCTTTTATCAACTGTCATTAGTTGGGTGTTATCCACAGCACTCTCACTGCACTGCCTTATATGGATAAGTCAGCTGGTGGACGTGGTGGTATCATTATGAATGTCTCATCTGTTGCCGGTTTGGAAGCAACCGCTTTGTTTGCCATTTATTCCGCCACTAAGCATGGCGTTACAGCATTCACGCGTTGCATGGCGGTTTGTATGAAACATGACTAATTTTTTTAATTTCTTTAGTACATTTTTTTTTCGTTCCTTTTAGGATCAAATCTATTTCGATCATTTTGGCGTTCGCTTCATAACAATATGTCCTGGCATGACAGATACGGGTCTCATAATAAATCTTCATAAAAGAGTGACCTTTGAGTTTACTCAAGACGCTACTAAAATCTTCTATGATGCCAAAAATCAGAGTGCAGAAACGTGTGCGAAGAATATGATAACGGTTATTGAGACGGGAAAGAATGGTGGAGTTTACTTACTTGATTTAGGCGATATTAAAGAGATTACTTATCCGGAGTTTTGGAGACCTACTTTTTAAAAACCTCAAGCGCTGTTATTCAATCCTTTAACGGTAACGCTAATGAATACATAAATACATATGTATTAGAGGGCTGCATGAAGTCATTCAAACTTTTAGCCATACAGAGTACAGTAGATTTGAATATTTTACTTCATATACAAAACATTCAGCGTTTGGAATTTTGTAAGTTATGAATATGCCTTTTGTTTTAGATTTTCTATCTTCAAATAGATGAATGTGAATGAATGAATGGAAAACATTCAAATCATTCAAACTCATTTCGGTAGAAGTTTTTTTCTACAAACAAGTTTTTTCGTATGTAATAGGAGCGCAGCAATACATACATACTTACATATGTATGTTTGTACATATGTGCATAGAAAAATTTTTTTGGGATATTCATACAAAAAATTGTCATTTATTTTAATTCAATTTATTTTCGCTTTGTGTACTGTCGACACAAATATCAGAACAGCTATTCACTCAAACTCAAAAAAATGTGAAGCCAAAATCGTTCATTCGTTCTGTATGTATATGAATAATTCATAAGACATTTTGAATGCATTCATGCAGCCCTCTAATATGTATGTATTTACGTAAAGTTTACGTAGTACATTTTTTCGGTTTTAAATCATTTATTTGACAGTTTTGTTAGAAAAAGTCTGAATGAGCTACACACATTGTTAAACAACAAAAATATCGCAATTATATGCGTCCATAATTTTTCGACTTTTTGTGCATCGCTATCGCTTAAATTGCTGTCATTCTGCATAGCTTCTATTTCATCTTTATTATTTTCACCGAGTTTACTGAGATCACTGCCAATGATAATAGGAGTGTACTCGTACCCAAAACCATCAAAAGTTTTAGAAAACTTTTACTGGTTTTGGGTCCTCGTACCCAAAAAACTTGCAAAGTAGGGGAAATTGAGAGAGCAAAATATGATAGAGAGCTGCAAATTTCTGCTCGAAAAATTTTTACAAGCGAAAACTTCCACGTAAGAAAATCAGCTGATCACAAACACATGTTTGTAAATAAACAAAAGAAAAAATGCCTTTTTGAGTAATTTATTGCAAATTCTAATATTAATGGTAGTATACAACGAAAAAGTGAATAAATTTATTAAGCACTACGCTTGTTGAGTTTATTTTTCGTTAATTTACTATTAATCTCCAGTTTGTTTACTTTAGTGTGTGCTGACTATGGTTGCCGTATGACATTTTTCGTTTGTACCATAATTTTCCTTTAAATATACCAAAATAGATTAAAATGCAGCATGCTGAAATGTTTTATTGCTGAAGTTGTCGGTGTTGGTAGGTTGATTGTTGAAATGAAAATGGTATAATTATAAAGCTACATTTGTAGCTGTATCTATTAATTTTTTTGGATCAATGATGGGTGTTTGGAGGAGATTCTCTTATTTTTGAATGCGTCCACATGTGATATCACAAATAATGATGAGA